ACAGAAAATGAATAATAAATCGTTACTGATTAAAGCCTAATAGCCGATCTGCCCTACCTGACAAAATGGACCACTAGATGCCACAAATCAAATCAAATATGTAAAATAATAGTAATTTCAAAGTCTTAAAATGACTTTGCTAATTTAGAATACAGTAAAACGAATCTGATGTAAAATGATTAGACCGTTGGAAGTTGTTGCCTAGCAACTGCAACGACATTTTTTTAAAAACGTATTCAAGGCGAGCTGTCATTTTCCCGGGAACCTCCGCATCACGTGACTCACCCGGCGGCGCCTCGTGTGCAGCTCTTCTCTCCGAATCAAAATGGCGGCGCCGCATGGCGTAAAACCGAAGGATTTAAAGTGTGATTTTACGGACCATACAGCAGCACAGGCGCACCGCGACTCTCAGGTCTCATATATGTTTCTGTTGTATGTCTGCAGATGTTTATATAAAGACGCTGTGGTGTAGAAATGACGCTCGGCATGTGAACACGTGGACGCCAGCGCGTGTTCGAGGCGGATGTGAAGTTATGCACGCGTTATAAATCTGGAGAAATGCGCTATTAAGATCTTCTTAACGACTCAAAGGTGGTTTAGTTTGTCGATCGATGTCGTTTAAGTGGTTAAACAATGTCCTTTTTCACAAACTATATTCAGTAAAGTGCTTTCCTGTAGTTACCTGTAGTTTTCCTGTAGAAATAAAATGGAAGTTCACGGATTGTAGAACTGTTGTAATTCCTTATCATAATGACTTTACAGCTTTGACTTGACTGGAATAGCGAGTTTAGAGTTTATTCTGCGAGATCTGAATCCGACATTGTTTTGTGTTATCCACAGGTTGAATTTGGAAATCACGATGTTCCTGTCTTCGAGCTGGATGTCGGAAGGATCTCAGATGCTCTTCACGGAAGCCTGGATCCGTCCATTTTATCCATCTTTCAGGAGAAGATGCTGAAGGATAGCGTTGAGAGCGAGGCGTCGCTGTTGTCCGCTCTGACCGAGATGTTGGATAGCGTGGACGTCGAGACGCTTTCGCCGTTCGACACGCTGCTGGACGCGGAGATTTTCGCAGTTCAGAAGGGTTCAGACCACACGGTTAGACCACATGGACATGAAAAAATGGGCATGTTGTCGTTGTTTAGTGTCTCAATAATCACTACCGGTCAAAAGTTTGGGATCAGAACGGTTTTTAATGTTTTTAAAGGAGTGTCTTCTGCTCATCAGGGCTGCATTTATTTGATCAAAAATACAGGAAAAAAGGTACTATTGTGAAATATTATTACGATGTAAATTTTATATTGTAATAACATTTTGCAAGATTACTGTGTTTTTCTGTATTTTTGATCAAATAAATGCAGCCTTGATGAGCAGAAGAGACTTCTTTAAAACACATTACAAGTCTTACTGATCCCAAACTTTTGACCGGTAGTGTATATACAATGTGTTAAGATATTTACTTTGTCAAATGTGTTTCCGTCACAGCTCAGGAATCTGCTTCATTTGAGCCAGACGTCACCGGATCGGCCCAAAATCTCTCAATCACCAGCCGCAAAGTCAGGAAGAGTACGTTTCCTTTATTGAGCCGATTCATGCACCGATGACGGATGAAGTCAAACTAGATATTTGTGTAAATCAAACTGTTATTGGAGCAGCTTCTGTTCAGCTGTGTCGAATCTAGAGGTCGACCGATACTGGTTTTGGCCCAGTTTTAAATAATTAGCTGATTACCGATTAATTGGCCAGTAGTTTAATTGAAAATTAGTGCTGAACTTTATGACAAAATTAACTATAATCACTAATCGTGATAATTTTTTGTAATTAACAAAATAAATCAAATGAAAAAATAGTTGCTTCATCACACACTAATTTTTATTTTATTGTCATGAAATATATAAATTAGGTATTTCCAAATGGCATGTACAATACTTATTATATACAATAAATAGTATCTATCCATCTACCTCATATAAAAAAAATAGTATAATATAATAGTAGTATATATAGTTACGTTAAATATATATTACGTATTATATGTATTTTACCTTGCTTCTGTTTCTTTTGCACATAAATACTTAAAAAAGTAAAAAGTTTATTTTGTAAAAACAGAGCTAAGTTTTTAAAACTATGTTTTTATTCAGCAACTATCTTATACGAGTGATTTTATTTAACGGTAACTATATGTATATATATATATATATATATATGTGTGTGTGTGTGTGTGTATAATATATATATATATAATCACGATATAGTAATTTTTGGTTTAAATAAGGTATTTATTATATAAATATTTTTGAAACCATAGAAATTTCATAATTCTTGTCACAATATCACAAAAAAAACTAATACTAACCTAAATTAAAAAGCGTAATCAAATGTATAAAAACACTGCATATTCTTGACTGTGTAAATTAAATCTATATTTCTTCTTATTAAAGTTAGAAAAGTGATTTAGTCAAGAGCAGTGAAAGATTTTCTCTCTTGTTGTTTGATTAACATGAAGGACAGACAGCAGGAATATTACGCTGCTGTCACTTTAAGAGCTACCTGCATCCAGTATACTGTTACTAGGGCCCTAATCGCAGAATCCAGTCATAAAAATGGAATTTAATGTATAATGCGGAATGTTACAGAATTTGCCACATTTTGGATGAATACATCAAAACTACTGTATGTCAGTACACTCAAATAAAAACACGATATGGACTAGTGTCTGTTAATATTAAGCCGCAAAACTACTATTTAAATATGAATCCTGCATGTTCTGCGTGTCTCTGTGAATGAAAGGAACACATGAACATCAGCTCTAGAACTGCTCTGAGAGTCACTTCATAAGCATTTTACCGTTTCTTTCGAGAAAAAAATATCATCTACAAACAGAAACTTAAAGGTCGTCACAGGACCCTGTCAAAATAAAAGTTCGGTTTAACTTGAATAAACTGTGACAGAAATATATTACTTAATTTAATGATAGTTCTACTACTACTACTACTAATAAAATTATCATTAAAACATCATTTTTTAAGGAATATTTACCAGTAAAATTATTTAACAGAAAAATGTAAATACACAACACAATATTTCTAGAAAAAATAAATAAATAAATAAAATAATAATAATTAAATAAAATTAAAAATAAGTTAATTAGAGATGCTTTTGATTATTAAAATTTAATGAAACCATTCAAATGGAATCTAGAAAATTAATGGACAACACAGAATTTGGTAATAAATTGCTGTTAAATTGTGTACATGCTTTTTGATTAATATTTTTAATTTAGCCATTAACCCCTTAACTGTCACCCCCCATTTTTTAAAATAGGCATTAAAGTGCGCTATCCAAACTTAAATTGTTATAATTCATGAACACTTTGGAATATAGACCTAAGGTTGGTCTCTTTTTAAAGACGACAGTCCGCAGATTATTGCAGAAGTGGAATTCTTTCAAAAAATTAAAATATCAAATAGTTTCTGTGAGATTTTATTTAGGGCGTTATACCACAAACAGCCACCGGGTGCCACCCAAACTCCTTTGAATGTTTTTGATGCATTTTTCTGTCACAAATGTCTAGATTTCTCTGCCAATATTGCTTCTATCACAACCACCAAATATGGAATCCTGAGACTCAGACCTTTCCAACGATATGTTTTATGTGAAGATTATAAAAAGTTTGTAAAAGGCCGTAATGCATTTTGTATTATGACACTTGACACCGCCCACTAAGGGGGAGGAGACCGCCAAAAGATTTTAAAGTACCATTTCCATGGTAACGCAATGTCCGATTTCAAAATGGTTTTCACAGGATGAATCTTGGGCTTCTTAAGCTTTCAAACGATATATAATTTATGATGAATACTAAAACATTTGATAGAGAAAAAGGACAACAAAATAAAAGAGCGCCAAGCGTCCCACAGGTGCGACGGTGACAGTCAGAGAAAACTGAAAATTTACAGAGAAAATTAAAATGGAAAAAAATGAATTTGGAGGAAAAAATAAAACAGATTTCATACGGCCCTGTGTTACACCCCTAGCAACTATTGTCGCTTATTTTTCCCGATAACCACAGTTCCAAGATGAAGATTGTGCCAATTAATCTGCAAAAACTGTATATCGCTCGACCTCTAGTTTCAATGTTTTGTGTGTTTTTTCTTCTCCATCAGGAGGTCGTGATGTCAGACAGACAGTTGAGACCCCGTCGCCCTTCAGTGACCCACATTACACAGCGAGACGAGCGTGAGAAGAAGCGCCGCTCTGTGAGAACTTTCCGGCTCGAATCCGACCCCATATTCCCACAGGACGGACGCGAGTTACTTGCAGATTTAGTGAGACACATGCATCCGTACTGCGTCAGGACACGCCTGGAGAAAGAGACGCGAGTGTCTGCAGAGGAGGAGGAGTTTGTTGATGTAGAAGGTTACGAGGAACACATGCTGGACCAATCAGAACACGGACCAGACTTGAAGCCAAAAGCAGAACCAAATGCACAGAATACCAACAGCCAGGAAGAAAAAGTCGCATCTTTAGGGCGAAACGTTAAGATGATGCCTAAACGCAGCGCTTTAGTCAAAACCAGCGGTGTGAAGATGCGGGTGAAGAAAACGGTGACTTTTGCGTTTAATCTAATCTCCGTTCACGAGATTCCACCTGATGATGAGGAGATTTCTGAATCCACATCCTGTAAAACTGACATCACTTCCTCTCAGAAGCCCAAAGCGCTCAGTCTAGACCAGTACCGTCTCCTCAGACAGAACAAACAACCTCCGGAGGAGAAACGGATGGACTTTCGAACCAAATGGCCTTCGCTTCCCGAGCTTCCCAGGGAGCTTCCGCCAATCCTGCCCAAGCTGGATCCGAACACACCTTCTGGTGGGATATTACCAGCTGTTAAAGTGAAAACATCTCCATCCCAGCCGCAGGGAATCACACGTCACTCTCGGAAAGACGGCAGGAAGGCTGTAGAGCTTTGCATTGACCCTCCAAACCCGGTTTTGGTGCCCTTGAAACCCACACGACGCATAAACGCAACCCAGACCGCCTCAGAACCGCTCGGTTCAGACTCGAAACCAGACGTCTGTGTTTCTTGTGAAGAGGTTCGACTCTCTGAGGTCGTGCCAGTGACATCTGCTTCCAAACCCAGAACTGGACAGCAGAACCAGACGGCGTGTGGCGGAGACATCGGTGAGCAGACCGTTCGTCTTGTTGAAAAAGATATGGCCATGTTTAGAGACAATAACAGATTTGCTCGTCAATTACAATGCTTTCAAAGCAGGGTCAGTTTTCGTTTACTAAAACCATACAAAAACATTGTGCTACTTGAAATGTTGCCAGAGCAACATTTCTCATTTTCATTTAGTTTAACTTGATATACTAAAATAATTAAAATTAATAAAAACTAAATAGACAAATAACAAAAACTAAAAAAAATACAAAAACATAACAAAATGACGAAAATGAAAACAGAAAATATTAAAACGAAAATTAACTTAAAATATTAATGAAAACTATAATAGAAACTAAATAGACAATAAATGAATAAAAATTACAAAAACAACTAAAATAAAAATGGAAAATATAAAAACAAATTAATCTAAAATATTAATGAAAACTATAATAGAAACTAAATAAACAAAAATAAAAAATTAATAAAAATGACTAAAACACAACATAACTAAAATTTAAATAAAAATACAAAATATAAAAAAATCATTTAAAATATATATTTTTAATTTAACTTTAAAAAGATAAAAATAAAAAACTAATAAAAATGACAAAATCACAACAAAATTATTAAAGATTTAACTAAAATTAAAATTAAAAAAACAAATAAAAACAATTTTGATTTTAAAATATTTATAAAAACTGTAATCGAAACTAAATAAAAACTAAATTATACAAAAATAAATAAAACTAATAATGATAAAAACACAACAAAATTACTAAAACTAGCTAAAATGAAAATGGAAAATATAATTTAAAAAAAATATTAATGAAAACTATAATAGAAACTAAATAGACAAAAATAAAAAAACGAATAAAAATGACAAAAACAATACAATTCTTAAAGATTTAACAAATTAAAATGAAAACAAATAAAAACAAAAATTTGATTTTAAAATATTTATAAAAACTAATCGAAACTAAATAAAAACTAAATTATACAAAAATAAATAAAACTAATAATGATAAAAACACAACAAAATTACTAAAACTAGCTAAAATGAAAATGGAAAATATAATAAAAAAAAAATATTAATGAAAACTATAATAGAAACTAAATAGACAAAAATAAAAAAACGAATAAAAATGACAAAAACAATAAAATTCTTAAAGATTTAACTAAAATTAAAATGAAAACAAATAAAAACAAAAATTTGATTTTAAAATATTTATAAAAACTAATTGAAACTAAATAAAAAATAAATTATACAAAAAACTAATAATAAGGAAAAAAACAACAAAATTACTAAAACTAGCTAAAATGAAAATGGAAAATATTATTATTTTTTCAATATTAATGAAAACTACAATAGAAACTAAATAGACAAAAATAAAAAAAGAATAAATGACAAAATCACAATAAAATTCTTACAGATTTAATTGAAATTAAATTGAAACTAAATAAAAACTAAATTATACAAAAAAACTAATAATAAGGAAAAAACACAACAAAATTACTAAAACTTTAAATTAAAATGTAAAATATAAAAACAAACATGAATTCAAAATATTTATAAAAACTGTAATCGAAACTAAATAAAAACTAAATTTTACAAAAATAAATAAAACTAATAATAATGACAAAAACACAACAAAATTACTAAAACTAGCTAAAATGAAAATGGAAAATATATATATATTTTTAAATATTAATGAAAACTATAATAGAAACTAAATAAACCAAAATAAAAAAAAGAATAAAAAACACAACAAAATTACTAAAACTTTAAATTAAAATGTAAAATATAAAAACAAACACGAATTCAGAATATTTATGAAACTACAGTAATATATCGTGGCACTGAAATAACACATTTGTGTTTGTTTTGCAGGAATTGAAGCCGCTGATCTGACCAGCCTTTTGGAGCAGTTTGAGACTCAAGGTAAATGATAAATGCACGTTCGTTTATGATCGCCTGTAATTGAATAGACACTATCAGCTCGTTTACATCAGGTCAGATAAGAACAGTGTGCTTTATCAGCCCTGAATCATTCTCAGTCCATAAAAGCTCGTCTTGCCTTTTGCTTTCACTTGTGTGTCTCCTCGGGACAGAAGACGATTCGAGACGGTCCCAGTGTTATTAAAGCAGAATCATTAAACTCTCACTGAGATGATTATAATCAACCCTGCAGTTCATTAATGGCTTAATGGCTTTTGGAAATCCGCTCATAAACAGGGAACGAATGAACTGTTTGAAATGAGAAATTATGATTATTATATAAATTAATTAAATTAGGCAACATTGATTATATTGTGCCTTTTTTTTTTTTTTACATTTATTGTCTCTATTGTTCTAGATTTAGTGACTTTTCAAATCTTTTGAAAAAAAATGTTTTTATAAAAAAAAAAAAAGGAAATAGTGACAAATCATAATGACTTTTTTTTTTTTTTTGACAAATCTTAATTAGGTTTTCTATCATTTTTTTTGTCTATAATTTGGTGAAAATTAAATGTGGAGGCTTTTAATAAGCCTTTAAGGGTCTCTTTCTGCACTGTATATGAATCATATTTTCTTGCTTTTTATTATATAATTTATATTGTGCAAAAATAAACTAATAACTTTCTGTAGAACTGGGTTCTTAAAAAGTCTGTTTCATCAAATTTAAGGTAATAAATAGTCTTAAATTATATAGCAAAAGTCTTAATTATCATTTTTATCACTGAAAAACAGGATGCGGCTTAATGTGATTATTAAACATTTCAAAATAAGAGTCCCTGTGCATTTCATGCTTCTTTATAAATTAAAAGTCCCATATAAATGTATAAAATCTATTCATCTGGATATTATTGGTATTTTGGTTACACAGTGGACTGTATCTGGCATTTAATTAAAACTCTTTTGGCTTCTCTCTGGGCGATTATTGATCGCTATATAGATTTTACAAGTATTCATTCATTCATTCATTCATTATTAATCTTTAAGCACATTATCATATGAGCAGAATTAGAGGTATTGATCGACTTCTAATTCACATGTATTGATATATATGACCCTAGAGCACAAAACCAGTCATAAGGGTCAATTTTGTGAAATTGAGATTTATACATCATTAGCGCAATTAGTACATAATGCCATTATTAACATTTTAGCCTGTGCTTGTGTCACTGACCGGATTACTTCATTTTCTCCAGGACTAACTCCACCCGCCACACCTCCACATCAGATCTGGAGGCCCCTGGTGTCTGTCAAAGGGACGAAACATGAATCCATCAAGCCGTCGCCCAGCAAAACCATTCAGATAATCGAACCCCGCCCACTGCCGCCCAGTAAAACTCACTCAAAGCCCTCACTTCCCACCTTCACTCCTGCGATGAATCCCGCTCGAGCGTTCCTGGACCACGACTACTGCGGGATTCAGGGCAGTGAGACGTGTTTCGCGCACACAAACTCGCTGTCTGGTTCGGTGCTGCTGTCTCCTGACAGCTCCCCCTGCAGGATGGAGGCGTTCGAGGAGACGGAGTCTCTGAGGGGGCGGGGCTTGCGCTTCTCCTCCCGCTCTCTGAGCCCATTGGACCGCGGAAGGCTGAAGAGGCGGGGTTATGAATGCGGATACCGGCGCTCCAGTTCCAGGTCATGCTCCTCGTGTTCTTCATCGTCTTCATCATCATCTCGTTCCAGGTCTCGTTCGCCACCCAGAACAAGGTAAATGGAAGCTGTTCACACTAAAATACAGTAAAAATTTAGTTAAAATAAAGTATATAATAATATGAAAATATAATTTTAGTATATAATAATAATAAAGTATATAATAAAACACAAATTTGATATTTAATAATTAATTTATATGCATCCATTTAACAATAAGCAGCATTATAATATATATTATAAATAAATATGAATCAGAAATATATGTATATAATTAAAAATGATACGGTAAACATTAATTATTATTTAAAAAATTATATTTAGATAATAAAATTAACTAATTATTATTTAATCATTATTAATTATTTGAGTAATGGTGCAATCAAATCATTGTATAAAAGCTCATTTATATTCATCCTTGTAACAACGAACAGCATTATTTATATATATATATAATGTATATAATATAATAAACATATAATAATGTATGTAATATGTATACGTGTATATAAATAATGTATATACAGTGGGTACGGAAAGTATTCAGACCCCCTTAA